ATCTAATCTCCATTAAAACTAACAAGGTGGGGGGGGGGACACGAGTAAATTGGTCCGTACATTAATAATCTACATACGGTGCACATTTTTACAAATGCACAATTATATTCCAAATCCATTTTCCTAATGTCTTCGAAATTGCGCATAAAATTTTTTGGCTCCTCCACACATAAAATCTAACACCCTTTTTCCATATTGATCAGTACACAGAATTCTATAGTGTTTCGAAATTGTGCTCACCAATGCATCATACAGAGCTCCCTGCAAAACCAAATACAAAATTTATTAGTATATTCATACATAAAAAGTTACTACTTCTAGTTCTATTTATAAGACATTATTTATAGATTACAAACAAGATCTTATAAATAGGACCAAAGGTAGTAATTTAGAATAGTATTATAGATAAGAGTTATACATAACTAAATATCACCACGAGAATACTACATCCAGTTCTTAATATAAGATTTAGATAATTAATTTGGTGATATTAAGAAAATTAGTCAAGAATTTGGAGATATTAAGAAAATTAATTAAGTTGGTTATTTGTGTGTTAGTCTTCTTAAACTATCCTCTTCAATATTAGATAATTAAAATTACCCCTTTCTAGGCATCACTTATAAGCAATAAGAATATTTTGTGGAAAGATGTGAAGAATCGAGGCAGTATAATTTAAGCGAAAGCTAAAACCATTTAGGTAGGTAGAGAGATGAAGTTGAAGAATCTAACCTTAGAACATTCCAAGGCTGTCTGAGCAACGTAATTGCCGAATGGGTCTTGAAGAAGGTACAAAAAGCTAGGGCTATTTATAATCTCTTGAACTATAATATCAACATTCTTCTGAGTTGAGAATATCAACAGATTTTCCACCACATTGCTAGCCTGCTTGTTAATAGACAAGTCAACATAGCAACCTCGAAGTTGATTCACTATTGCTTCATTTACTTCACCCAACCTCAACTTAATCACATACTGCACCACATAGTTCCTGTGGATATATATATATATATATATATATAACAACATAATTAGCTTATAATAAATATTTATTTACTTTTATTAAAGAATGATTTTTTTTAAAATTGTGTAAATGATTCTATTTACTGACCCGTATTGATGTGGTGCTAGCACTGTGACACGATTAGTAACGGCACAAATCAACAAGTAAGAAAGTTCTAGCGTAGAAATAGATAGACATTTTTGAAGAACAAAACAACCGCTTTTGTTTGTGGCAACAAGAGTGCATTCAGATGCCATTGCATCTAAAATAGCCTGAAAATAAAAACATTGGTTATTCATTAAGTCATGATCAACATATAACTTTGTAATAGTATATATTAGTGTGTAATAAGAAAATTAAGGAATGAAGAGTTGTATTAATTAATTACCTTTGAAAAATGATGGCTATGACAAAGTTTTAAGAAATGTTGAAGGACATAACTTCCATAATGGGAAGTGGCTATTGGGACAACAATTTCCCTCAGAGCATATGTAAAGACAATCCATTGCCTTTCTGTCGTAAGATGATGTATCATACTTTGTATAACTCTGCATCTATAACCAAAAAAAACAAACGAGTAAAAAAATCTATTAAACAAAAAACCAAAACAGGAAAAAAAATATATCAAATTAAGTGATTTTTGTGTTGAAATTATATAAAGTTTATGTCAAAAGTGTAACTTCTTACACTAGTATACCGAATAAATTAAAGAGACTGCATAAATTATATCAGACACGTAAAAAGTTTTACAATAAGAATAATATGAGATGATTTCATATGATAAATCGTGAAATAAAATAAAGATAGTTTGAGAGAAAAATAATATCATACCCTTACCCTATATTGTTTTTGCAGGCAATCTGAAATTTGGGAAGATCCTTAGTGATCAATTCAAAAAGGAGGGTTATTTGATCCTCATTGAGTACATCAAAAATCTTTTCAATGACGCATTTCCCAAACTGGTCCATCATTAAATCATGTAAGTGATTCAACAACTCCATTAAAATGAATTTAATATCTCTAGGGTTCTTCCCATCCAACAATCTCACCAGAAATTCACTTCCATATTCCTCTTTCGACATTGAAACCACACGTCCCCTCATAACTTCAAGCGATGTAATGTCATTATATCTCTGCAAGATTCTTCCTACAGGAGAATTATAATAAACAGGGCTGGGTCCAATCCTAGCGTTCCCAATAACTAGGGTTTCATTGTTTGTATTGTTACATTGAGATAGTCCTTCATAAACAAGGTGGTGGGGTCCAATCCCAAAGTTTCCAACTAGGGTTTGTTGGTTGGTATTTTGCTGGTTTGTATTATTTTCATGAAGCAATCTTGCATAATCATGACTTGGTCCAATCCCAAAGTTTCCAGCAGCTAGGATTTGCTTATTTGTAATATTATACCTATAAAGAGCTCCATCATAAATATGTCTTGGTTCAATCGGCCTTGAGTTTCCAGCTAGGGTTTGCTGATTTGTACTATTTTCATGAAGTAGTCCTTCCCCTACGGAATCAATTCTCAAGTTTTGTAGTTGAGCCTCTAGTGGATGTAAGGGTCCAAAATTGATATTTTCATCAAATTCTATGCTGTTAAGAGAAATTTGACTTCGAGGTTGACTGTTCAACGAAGAACGATCTATTTCTGACATAGGATTTCCAACGTGGTCGTGATAGTTCACGTAAGCGGGGGGGTTTTCTGGATTTGGAATAAGTTCGACGGCAGGAAAATCATCAGAAGGAGATCCATTACGAAGAAATTGAGTAGACTGATCCATCGCTGCAGTTAAAACACACATTATCCAAAAATAAAGCAAGAATCATAACTCTTTACTGTTAAAAAATAAATCAAATAAATTAAAGGAATAAAAAGAAACGAAGCAAAACAAAAGATAAATATCATCAATAATTAGCAATTACGTAACAATACTAAAAGTCATAATACTATAAATAATAAATAATATTGTAAATGAATGATAGATTCTTGAATTAATAAATTTTTCAAATTCCTAATAACCACGAGACCTAAGTTTGCGTATGTGGGTACATTGAAGGTTTTTCTTGGTCAGTTGAAAGGATTACTAAACTAGTCTCAACAGGATTTTCATTCAGTAGAATATATTCCGGGAAAAATAAAAATTTAAAGAAAGAAAGAAAGATTGCCTGATGAACGACCAAACAATGAATGAAGATGCTGTTCCTTCTTCTCCCCAGTCTCATCCAACGAAAACTTTAGCTGAGAGCTAGCGTTTTTATATAAAAGATGGACTCAGATTAAATAAATTTGGATACATAAAGATCAATCTATCAGATAGACTAGAAATTATATAATCATATAAATTATATAAATATAATAAACATTTTAAAATTTAAATAAATTAAAGCAATCAGCATCACGAATGTTATCAGATAACTTTGTTTAAGCATGATGCGTAACTAGCTTGGAGCAATAATTTTATCGCGTAAGTAATTTTTTCCATTACAGAAAGTTATACTTTTAAAAGTTGAGTTATCATCAATCTATTTATATCACCTTTTGTTTAATTCAGTATTTATATATATTTAAAAAGAGATATACGTTTCAATTTTCTGACAATCATGATTTATCTTTTAATTTTGTTTTGATAAACATTATAATTTTAAAAGAGGATTCAAAATTATTTAAAAAATTATATTTACCATCTTACCTTTAAGTTATCTATTTATTTTTGATTTGGTTCTTTTTTTGGGTGATGATTCCAATGCCATCCTAGTCTTTTTGCTTTCACTTGTTTCATCAAATTAATAACGTAAAAACATAAGCAATCACATTTTTTTTATTTTGCATAATCATTAATATATAAGAAAAAATTGCAAAAGAACACCGCTGAAATTAAAAAATTGTACACGAGAATCCGTTCACAAAAATTATTCTCAAAACTCATACTATTGTTATTGAAACTCATACTAATGTTGTAACAGGTTCTTATTTGTAATTTTTCTATTTTGAAGATTTTTTTTTACGATTTTTCCTTAATATAAAGTTTAACGGTTGTGAACAGCTAATGTTATTTTATTAAATTTAGAAGTTTATATACTTATTTTGAAAACAAAGATAAGATTAGAATTTAATCAGACTGAGAATTTTATAACATAATCAAAGTACCCTAAATAATTAATATAATTACATAACTGGTGAAGTCAGTGAAGCAGGTTAAGAATTGCCATAGGAAATCAAAGAGAAGGCAAGGCAGATGCTAGAACTTAGGTGAGATTTGGGGTGCCGCTCAATTTTTTCCTACTTCTTTTTTTCATAAGATTCTATACAAAATAAGAAAAGTTTTAATATGTAAAAAATTATTTTTTAATGGTTTTTCAAAGAATTTATTTTTAAATTAAAAAAAACACATCGTCAATTTTGGAGTTGAACCATTTTTTATTCATAATATATTACTATCCTTAATAAAAGAGTTAGTTAAAAATTTAATTTAGTGTTAAATATAAGACCTCAATTTACAAAATTTAATTTAGTCTTAAATATAAGACCTCAATTTACTTTTTCTCTCTTTTTTTTAAAAATATCTCTATTGATTATAAAGAGTTCGCATCAAGAATAATTCTAATCATCCAATACATATTATTGAAAAGGATAATATCAACACATATTTATAACAATTAACCAATTTAACTAATTTTTCTAATCTCTCCAAATTCATTATTTAGCCTTTTTTTTTGGACAAAAAATTTAGCTCTTGGATTAAACATAGAGGTAATAAAATTTTACTCATCTAAAAATTTGGGAAGTAGAGGAAAATCAATGGAAGGTTAGAGAGAAGTTGGAGTTTCTTGCTCTGCAATGCAACTATAGTACATAGATCGCAACCGTGATTTTTCACTAAGAATGTGGTGCGTCAAAGAGTTCAATCATTTGCATTTTGCACAACGTTTATGAAGACTCTTAAAGTCAAAGTCTGCGCTTCTGAATCACCCAACATGCTTTTACCTTCCCAACGTGATCTTGTCCAAAAATTCCAGGTTCATTTCTCTGTTGCTCGGCTTCTTCATTCCCGTCCAGAATGCCCAAGCTTTATAAACATCTTTGCCCTCTTGAGAGGCCCCATTTCTCGATTTCATCTTCTTCAAGTTCATGCTCGCATCTATCAACTAGGAGCCCATCAAAACGATTGGGTCGCTACGCGTCTCATTGGTCGTTACCCATCTTATGTATCTCTCCGGATTTTTCATCAACTTCAGAATCCTAACATCTTCCCTTTCAATGCCATTATCAGAGTCCTCGCTGATGAGGGTCAATCCTCTCACGCATTCTCTGCGTTCAAGAATCTCAAACGACGATCTCTTTTGCCTAATGATTTCACCTTTTCTTTCCTCCTCAAGGCATGCTTCTCGTCCGCAGATGCCCGTATCGTTGAGCAAGTTCATTCTCAAATTCAGAAGATGGGTTTGCTTAATAATTTATTTGTTAGTAATGGATTGGTCTCAGTCTACGCCAAAGGGTTTCATGATTTGGTCTCTGCACTTAAAGTGTTTGATGAAATTCCTGACATAACAGTGGTTAGCTGTTGGACTTCGTTGGCCAAAGGTTATGCTGAATCGGGTAAGAGTGAAGACGTTTTGAATCTTTTCCGGGTGATGATTGAGCAAAATATACATCCAGAAAATGATACCATGGTCAGTGTGTTGTCAGCATGTTCTAACTTTGCTACACCAACTATTCAGAAATGGGTTGCCATTCTTTCGGAACTTGTTGATAACACTGACCCTGAAGAAATTTGCCGTGACTCCATTAATACAGTCCTCATATATCTTCATGGAAAATGGGGAATGATTGAGACGAGCAGAGACAGATTTGATCAGGTTTCTTCTAAGGGTAAAAGAAGTGTGCTTCCTTGGAATGCTATGATAAATGCGTATGTTCAGAATGGTTTACCTTTGGAGGGTTTAACTCTTTTCCGCACGATGGTGGAAGATCAAATAACTGAACCTAACCACGTTACCATGGTTAGCGTTCTTTCAGCTTGTGCTCAAATTGGTGATTTGGATCTGGGTGTGCGGGTTCATGAATACATGATGTCCAACGGACGAAAGGGTATTATTGGATCAAACCGAATACTTGCTACAGCATTACTTGATATGTATTCTAAATGTGGGAGTTTAGATAGGGCAAAGGAAGTTTTTGAACATGCAGAATCCAAAGACGTTGTCTTGTTCAATGCTATGATCATGGGTCTTGCAGTAAACAGTGAGGGAGAGAATGCCTTGAGGCTCTTCTACAAAATGTTTGAATTTGGCATAAAACCTAATGCTGGAACATTTCTTGGGGTTTTGTGCGCATGCAGCCACTCTGGATTGTTAGAGAGAGGACGTCAAATATTCAGGGACATGAATATGACCTTTAAGATTTCTCCTAACTCAGAACATTATGCTTGTTATATTGATCTCCTTGCAAGAGGGAACATGCTAGAAGAAGCTTTGGAAGTTGTAACATCCATGCCTTTCAAGCCTAACAATTTTGTATGGGGTGCACTGCTTGGAGGTTGCTTGCTCCATTCCAGAGTTGAATTGGCTCAAGAGGTTTCCATGAAGCTTGTGGAGGCTGACCCGAGTAATTCTGCAGGCTATGTAATGTTGGCTAATGCTTTTGCCTCGAATCACCATTGGAGTGATGTATCAGCATTAAGGACGGAAATGAGAGAGAAAGAGATAAAGAAGCAACCAGGATATAGCTGGATTAGCTTGGATGGAGTTGTTCATGAGTTTCTTGTTGGGTGTTTGTCACATCCTCAAATTGAGGACATATATAATACATTGGCCATCTTGGTGAAACATCTGAGAGTACCAGGCCTGTCTGTCGGTAGAAATGCTGTGACTAGAGATTGCTGGGAGACAGCATCTGAGTAATTTTTTTCTTTCTTTCTTTCTCCTTTTTTTTTTGGGTTATAGAACAACAAAATCTTAAAAATAGACAATTAAAGCAAAAAAAGAAGAAGCAAGGAATGGGCTTAAAATTGAATTTTGGCAACATACTCACTATGGCCATATGAGATGTAAATCTTTGCCAAAGCTCGCGGGTTATCGGGTGAGTGATTATCGTTGTTTTAATGGTTCTCCTTTGTCGACGGACAGTCACACGTTGCTGAATCTAGCACACCAACGCCAACCTACCCTATAATTTTTCCAATCGGCATGTACGGATCATGCTATAGGTTTCTGAAACCTGTAAATGCCCCCCCCCCAAAAAAAAAAATACAGTACTCTGATCGTGGTTAGTTCTGAATATTTGAAGATTAGATTGATCGCTGGCTCAATAAAATTTTTGGTTCGTAGTCGTTAATTCAAATACAGTTGAGCTTGATATAATATATATTGATTAGCATAATTCTAATTTCTAACAATATTGTCTAAATATTTGGCCATGGCATTTTCAGGTGTCTCCAAATGCTCAAGTTTGAACCTTGAGCCATGAGTTGTTTTAAAAAGGTTTTTGAGTGAAAACCAAACTATAGTTTTAGAAGTGATTTTATGGTATACAAAATAAATATGTGAAGAATTTTGTCTCGACTTACATAAAAATACTTTTTAAAAAAACACTTTCAGAGGAAACCAAACAATCCCAAGAAGTCTTGGAAAATCAATTGAATCCAGGTGAGGGCACGTATCTATTGCTATATATTACTACCTTCGGTCCTTAATATAAAATCTTATTTGATTTTTATCTTGATTCTAAATATAAGATCTTAATCCAATTTGTCTCTTATATTTATACATTTTTTCCAAGATAATTCTAATAATAGTAGTTCTAGCCAATATACTTAATTAACAAGAATATTTTTAAAAAAGACAATATTTATTTAATTCAAATAATTAACTTAACTTATTTTTTTTAATCTTCTCAAATTAGTCAACTAACTCTTATATTGAGAATTAAAGTAGTATTAAACATTTGCATTGGTATAAAGTAGTATTAAACATTTGCATTGGTAAAGACCAAAGAGACCGATTAGTATGAAGTTCAGCTTATACATCTAAAATTATTAACCCATCTCAATTTTTAACTGAAGCTGATTGATTCTTAAACACTCGAAGTGCACAAAGAATAGCCGATTAACCGAAAGTCAAATTACCAATTTTTCTAGTTCGACCGATTAAAGATCAGATCATTAAATGTGTCACAATAATTATCCTGTCGTTCTGACACGCCACACATGAAATGGAACCAAAACCACCTCCCGACATTGGCGTCGCTGACTCTGAGTATCGGACTATTCACCCAGACAGGGCAACTTTCACTAGGTTTTATCAGACACATGTAGAAATAACATCTACTGTAGCTTTAATTCTTCAGGTTAAGTAAATTCCAAATAACAAAGTGTACAGAAGAAGAGCATAAAATAGAATTAATTGGAGTATCTTTACAGATGTGAATATTAAAATAATTGCAGAAAGTTTCACCACAACCAAAATTAAAAAGGATTCACAAAACTAGAAATTTATTCATAATTTTATTAACCCTTTATTACTGGATCAAGATCATAAATGACAGTTTGATGTTAAGACATCACGTCTACATCCTGTACCTCGGTCTGCCGCAGTCTCAGAATTTCCAAAATCCATGATGTATTCAACCTGGCGACAATAGTTCCGCTTCGTTTCCCCAAAGGTCCAGCAACAAGAGCAGATGCACGAAGTGGCAATTTAGCAGAAAAAATAAGATAGGATTACTCTAGCTCCAAGCAGAAACAACACGGCACTTGCTTCCATGCTCTAACCTCTTGATGTTGAAAAGATAGGTCGCAGAGAACCTCAACATGTCTATATACAGAAGGCACCAACGAAACTAGATCAGGATTCAAGCAATTAACTCACTTCCCGGTCAATCATTCTCAGCTATCATCACTCAGGGAGAGCAGTTCCATCAACTCCATCCTGTACTCAAGGCCTCTAAGATAGTGTCCCAACAGCATGCACCTACAAGGAGGAGGAGAAAAAGTAACCAAAAGTCAGTTTTGTTGAGAATATTAGCATCCGCAGGCACAGCACTGGAAAATTGCTTTTCGCCAAACACAAACAATCATCAGTAAGCTATTGTTTTGCCATTACGGTGAACTTTTAGACTACGGTATCCCCCCTAACACCCCTTCCCCTCAAACCCCCCAAAAGAACTCTACTTGCTACCGACCCATTTTTCCCTCACCCTACCCCCTCCCCAGTCTCAAGAAAGCGAATGCAAATCACATTACACATTAAAGGTTTAGTTTCTTAAATGGTCAGGACATGCGTCAAGTTCCCAAAGATAGAAACTAAACAAAGTAACAATTTTTGTAAAGCTAACATCACTTCTCTGGTACTTGTTCCGGTATGATTACTAAAAATGTAGATATCCAGATAAATAAGGTACAAAGGTATAGCATATAACTAACCAAAAGAGCAGACGGGCCAGATAGTCCCGAGTTAATGAAATAACAGGCTGAAATTGTAGTGAAGCATTCTCAACAAATTCAGTACGATCCTCAATCCCACCATTTGCAGTTCCAGAAGTTGTGTTCTCGGACATTGTAGAAGCTTTTGAATGCATCTTCGGTGAAAGAGTAGCTAGAAGACCGTGGACAACAGAGTGGATGGTATTCTTAAGTTCAGAGGATGTCGATTCTGATAGCTCAGCTACCTGCTTAGGGCCAAATAGCATGAGTCACTGGCACAAATGAGAGGGGGGGGGGGGGGAATATATGCGAAGTGAAAACCTACTCATCCCACAAACCCCCCCCCCCCCAAAAAAAAAAAAAAAGGCTGGAAACTTAGTTGAACAGGTTTGGACAAGTTCATAAAGCCGCACTCAAATGAGAAACACACAGAAGAGAGGACAATAAAAACATTAGCTACAAATGCATCCTAAGGTTTTTCATCACAATAATGAAGGAACAGAAGAAAATTTAAAAAAGAATAACTCGGAAAATCATGTGAACTTCCTTTTTTTCCTGAAAAAGTATTTATCAAGAGAAAAGGACAAAGAAACTAGAGACACAAAGGGCAAGCATAAGATGTGCCAAAAGCAGAGAGCAATGTAACTGCTTTTTACCAGATACTAGATGCCACGCTACTCTTTCCTTAGGGTCATTCATAATCAAAATAGACAAACACAAGAATATGACAGCTGAGTAGGATTCTCAGCACTTGGTATCCAAATCTTGCAGAGCAATAAATGAACATAACAAGCAAGGATGACAAACCAGAGCCAGGAAAAATCACATAACACTAAACTATAGCAAGATACCATAACATATAAACATCACACAACATAAAAAAGATAAAACAAGGTCTAAGAGCAATGCCAGTTATGATTTTTTCTGAAGAAGACAAACCTGTTCAGGTTGAAGAGATCTCAAGTAATCCAGTAGATCATTTTTTTCTTCCCCAACAAACTGTTGCATCTGAAGAGCAGCATTCTTCCTCTTCACTTCGCTAAGTTCCTTTGAAAAAATTCCAATAAAACAAAACAAAAAAGACAATTAAAAGCCATATACCGCAATGATGGCCTTCTGGAATACAGGGAACATAATTGTAGATGATCATAGCAAAGCACACAAACTAGAACAGATCCAAAATTAACAGCTGAGATCACGCATCATGATATTTGAGCATCAAGCATCTACGGGTGTCCAATATAAAACATATACCTCCCATCCTAATCATAAGAAGTATATTGTAATTCAATTTAGGACCGGAG